GACTCGCAGCATTTGCCCCAACGGGGGAACTTTGTCTTTGGTCATTTGTGTTATAATTTATATTGAACTTCTTTCGTGCCGTACCTAGCCAACCATGCTCATCGGAGGTTACCGTATAATAAGGATTTGTGGAAATTCTAAAATGGCCATCCTGTGGACGGACTGCCTCCTACAATGGAATTGTTGTCTTTCCACCGCTGGCTCAGGACCAACAGCAGAGATGAGCATTGGCTTTTGCTGATTTAATCAAGGAGACACTGGCTTAACACAATTGTAAAAGTGATGAGGGGCGCAGCCCGTACTCAAGGAGATTTATTAACACATTACATCCAGCTCAGAGATTTCCTCCATCATCATCATCGCTATTTAAAAAAAAAAGCACTGGGTGACTGCTTGACCCAATCTCATTAATGTTTTTAATATGTAATGCTCTGGGTTGGTAATGGTTTGGCGGGCTTGTGGCATTTCAAATGTGATCATTTCCCACCAGGACTTCACCCTGAATACGCCGTCTCAAATCCTAGGTCAGGAGAGAGGGACTGGTGCATGAACGAAATTACTTTCCAGAGAGAAGGCCCTGGGTTCACATTTTCCCCAGCGCCCCTGCTCTTCCTTGTAAAGGTGTCCCATCCACAGGTGATTATGCATTTTTTATGTAAAATTCTTTCAAAAAGAGTCTGTGCCCCCACACCGAAGCTAGCATTAGGGAGCATCCATCTTTATTAGATCTTTATTAGATGGATGCCACTAGGGTAGGGCACCACGGTGGCGAGATGTGAACTACCTCGTCTGGTATGAAGGAGGTAGTGGGTTCGATCCCGACGTTGACACCTGTATATTTAGAGTTTCATATTCTTCCCGCGATTGTGTGGATTTTTCTACAAGTCCTCCGGTTTTTCCCTCCACATTTAGAATCAACGTGTATTAAATATGTCCAGATGATAAGCCACTTCGTTGAGCTATCATGTGTGGCCAGGTAGCTTCTGAAAAATAACTACATAGCTCAGTGGGCCTTACCTGGAAAAATAAAAAAAAATTGTTTAGATGCTAGTAGTAAATATTCTGCAGTCTTATGATGGGGCCAAGTTTATCCAAAGGACAACCACTGGTTATTTGTCATGAAGTGGCTCTTACTTCATCACTCAACGGAAAATTAATCTTTATCCTGGATACAAACTCTGCGAATTTGTTTTAATAAATCACACAGTAAGCTACGGTTTTGTAAATACCACTGGGCAGAAGTCACCGATTTCCATTTTACTGTAAAAATTATAAATAATTATAATTTACAGCCCATTGTCATTCCACTGCTGGATGAAGACATCTGTGTAGGTTGTGGGGGTTGCTTTAGACCATACTTCACCACGCAGATCATTGCAGGTTGGTGAACAGTGGCCCAAGACCAGTTCAGATACCACTCGCCACTGATGTTAGCCACGGTCAGGAATCAAACTCATGCATACAGGTTCATAGAAGCAATATGCTAACTACCACGCTATCTATATAAACTCCTCCATAATATATATTTTGGGTGAGATCGCATATATATAAATGTATCGTTAAACCCGCCACCACCCAACATAGCCAATCAATAAGGTTTGCCATGTAAACAGAACATGTCAATTCGTTGCTAGTGCAGCACAACTGGTGTGTTGGACATCAAATCCACAACATTTGCTCTCCAACACACCGGTGTGCTGTACTGTGGATTTGCTCTCCAACACACTGGTGTGCTGTACTAGTGACGAACTGGCATGTTCTGTTTACGTGACAAATCTTACTAGTTGGCTGTGTCGGTTGGTGGCGGGTTTTAACGCAACATTTATATTCACTCGATCTAACCCAAAAGCATTATTATGGATGATTTTGGCCGCGAAAGACTCCGTGTTAAACTATATAAACTCCGATTTAAAGCTTTCGTGACTGCAAGGATTCATCTTCTTTGGTTCTTTCGGTAAAGTCACGTAGAATGAGAATAAAATAATAAATTGATAAAATAAAATAACACAATAATATTCTCACGACGTTTCGGCCACAACACAAGCGGCCTTCATCAGGTGAAGAGACGAGACTGTCTGGACAGACTGTCTGGACAGTCTCGTCCCTTCACCTGATGAAGGCCGCTTGTGTTGTGGCCAAAACGTCGTGAGAATATTATTGTGTCATTTTATTTTATCAATTTATTATACTATATAAATTCCTCTGCAATATGGTTATTTAAGTGAGTGATGAATTGACCCTTAATATACTGGAAACAGTGTATACCATGCACTGTGTATGCTATACAGTATGTGCATATTGTACGTTGAAATACGGTCAACAAAACCTTGTAATATCTGTTCAGAAAATGTGGAGTCCCTCCAATGAAAGCTGCACCATTTGACTCACCACAGAGCTCACTGTTTTACCATTTATTACAATTACACCTAATCAGCCCCTCTGAAAGGGACATAAGACACCAGAGGCAGTTAAGTTCCATATCCCGAAGAATAAACAATACAGGAGGGAGGACAGAGCAACGATTTTCTGGCTCATCACATTAATCTCCCAAAAATATTCAAGCCCCTTCGAAAAAAAGTGGAACCGAAAAAACAAATCAAACAAAGCGCTTATTCTTCAAGAAGGCGCACACCGACTCTAATCCCACTCACGTTGAATTGTCGTGAATGAGAGAACGGGGACTTGTCGGAAAGAGACAAGCGACTTTTCAGTCCCACCCCTAATAACGCCCTCAAAGTGACATCGCACCACACCACACTACCCTGGAGTCCCATCGCATCCACCATCCATCGCGACCCCGCGCAGAGTTACAACGTCGAGTGAACGTTAGCCTCCGAGGGCTCGGCATTATTGCGTAATGCAGGCCCCGCTGTCGTCTAGCCGCCAGCTGGGATTCGCCAGGATGATCGGCAGGATTTAACTTTTAAAAGCGGCTTTCAACTGCCACTTTGTCGTGGATCGACGGTGTTTTAATGTGAGGTCTTTGCTTGTTTTACTATTCGCGTTATATATATCTACTGTTTACATTAATAGTGTTGTTCTGTACAGCATTTTCAGATGCTTGTAGTATTTGAGAGAGCAAATACTTCCAATTTCTGTTACTTCCAATTATCATGTGCGCTTCTGCAGCCGTCTGGAATGCTATTCCTTCCGATATTAGGAAGCCACTGGAGCAATGCAATTTTAACTCTAGATTGAAAACTAATTTCTTTACAACTGTGTTAAGTTTGTTGTCCTACCCCGCACCTCTGATTAGCATGGTTGTCTACGTACACTGCGAAAGAAGCTCAACATACTTAGACATAACGGGAAGATTATCCCGGTTGTAGATTAACTGTGCTCGCCACAGAATGCGAGCTTTCCGCTGTTATTCAGGCCACTAACAACGAGGAGCACCACCCAAAACTCAAAAATGATTTGGAACACCTGCACCTTTTTAATACAAGTTTCTATGTAGTATTGAATAAGCTAAATTCCACTATCTACATTAAATCTCAACATGTCTACAAGATAAGAATGTTTCATTGAAGGTTGAATTTTTTGGTCTGGGTATAAAATTATCCCTACGGTATTAACATCTCTGTATCTCCCAACTATTTTCACGTCTGCTCACCCATCTCTTGCTGTGCACAGATAAATGTGATTCTTTTTTCAGGCTGGCAATTGCAAGGAACTATTATTACCGGTATTCTTCTTTCGTCTGTGTGCCATTATGAATACATAAAATAAAACAGGCAAGTCAAAGAACAAACAGTTCTTATATATTATCATTATTACTGCATTCCAATTGTCTACCCATGAAAGCCTCACCCAGTCTTCCACGTTTTCTCAGTAGGGGGCGATGTTGCTGCAGTGTGCGATCCCAATTGAGTAATTTGCAGGCAATTATTCAGTTACACTGCGGGTTGGCGATCACGTACATTTGCCGCGGAGATAGAGCAGTGAAATCAGCTCGTTTGCAGTTGCTGGATGAAACGCCACATCACAAGACCATGTGGGGGGCGGCGCGCGGGGGATGTGCGGAGGAGGCTTCGCGAGGCCTTCATCTAGCAGTGGATCGATCATGGCTCATGTTTGACATTCCTGTCGGAGTTGCACGAGTCGATGTCGCGCGACGCCACGCGCCGTGCGGCCAGCTCCCCGCCCCTGGGGGGGGGGGCACTTTCTCGTCTACAATGGCTACTCCCCCCCCCCCCCCCCAAGCCAGTGATGGTAATTCCATATTGCTATGGCAGAAGGAGCAGGTCCGCAGAAAGTAAGCAAATCGCTTTTCCAGCATATCCCGCCATAAACATGCACGGGACTACGTTTGTATTGCCCTGAAGCGGTTGCAATCGAAGTATTGATTTGTTCGTGGCTCAGCCTTCTCTAAAGCGGTGTTGCAAAATGCCACTGCATCTGAAGCTTCTGTGAAGCTGATGAAAGCAGGAGCTGGTAAAGGCCGTGAGGGTGCAACATTGATTTGAATAAAGACGCAGGCTTTGTGAAACGAAGCTTGAATTAGTTAAACACTTGGTTTGTGTTATTTAAAGAAAACACTGGGCCTTTCATAAAAATTGAACACGGTGCACTAACAGTCGTGAGGGTGGAATGGTGGCTCTGTCGTTAGCATACTGCACTGTAAGCCCGAAGACCTGAGTTGCATTCCATTCAACTATCACGGCAGGAGGTCAAACAGGCGACCTCCGGATTTCAAATCCAACCGCGCTAACCATTATACCACGGCAGCATTAGTGCATTGGGCTTTAGGATATGCAGGCACATCGTAAGTTAAACTCGGAAAGAGCGTGCGAAATACCATAGCTTGATTGAGGAAGGAAAATCTGCATGGGGCCTGTCATCGCAGGGCCTGAGGGAGAGCGGCTACTGCATTGTGGGGCGGCTCGACGTGCCCGTGCGGGTGTACGTATGCTAATCTTCTTTCGCACCACACGTAGACAACCGTTGCTAACCAGAGGTGCGGTGCGACACAGCTGGCGGTGCGACGCGCGCGGCGCTACCTGCGATCATGTCGTCGGTGGAGGCGAGTCGGCGCAGCACCAGCTCGATGAGGCCCACCTCGGTGCACGCCTGCAGGTTGCGCACGCTCTTCCGGAGGATGGCGGTGAACATGCTCCAGATCTCGGCCTGGCACGTGGCATCGCAGTGCTCCAGCAGCTCCACCATGCAGCCCACGCCCTCCACGTCCTGGATGATGAAGTTGATCTCCAGGTCAAACTCTCCGCCGACGAGCTGTTGGCACGGGGAACAAACGAGTGCGGGCGCCGCGTCAGCACTTGGGCTCCGATAGCCGAAGTAAAAAAAAAAACACAATTGGGCAGCACTTGTCTCAGTTGAAGTCCCTGAACCCAGAGTATAAATTCCACATTCTCATGGCAGGAGGCAATTTCCTTGAAAAGACAACAACTGCACAAGTGGACATCACAGTCAGGGCCAACAATGCTGCCACATCTTGCCATCACTTATGTAATTCTGCCGAATCCCACGTGTCCAGCGTTGGCACCCAGTCTTCAAGGTGTGCTCTGCTGGTAACATCAACATCTTCTGACTGTAGGCCGCCTCCCTGATCACCAAACGCTCTGCACCAATGCCTGTCTTGGTAACCTGTCCTCAGCCAGCCTGTACGTGTGCTCCACCTCTTGCAACAACCCTCTACCGGTTACATTCAGAGTGGTCTTCCACACTTTCTATTCCGAACTGCAAAGTTGCTCATCCCATCCTGCTATGAAACTCCTGGCATCCTCTGCATGTACACCTCCGATTAACACGGTTGGCTATGTGCAGTGCGAGAGAAGGTCAACATAAGTGCAGTACCTGCATTCAAACAACAGTAGTTTCTTAAAAGTTGCTTGCATCACTGGCCGAAAGGCCAATGGGGAACCGCGTTTTAACAGAGTTACCGTTCAATCGAAGTCTAGACTCCCAATTTAATAATGCAAACACAAGAGTAGATTTATTTTAATAAGATTTCTGGATATTTCACACACGGGAGTAGGTACCGGATGTCAGAGTAAAATATATTGCAGAACTAGGGACGGTCGCATTGTCCAGCTGAGGGGCTTTGTGGCTGGAGTGCTCAACGATCAAATCGGAAGGTTGCGGAGTTCAGATCCCATTCATGGTCACCTCAGCCTATTGGTCACAAACGTACTCATTTGGGAAAGGTCAACAGTGACCGTCCTATAGCTTCCATAGGAATCTGTGATTTTACCAAGGTCTGCAGTCCGCCAGTAGAAATTAAGTTTTCAGCCCAGCAATTGCTTGTTTACACCACTGCTGTTAGAGGGGCCTCTGTTAAAAGGGAGCTCTGTAGAGCTTCTTTAGATGGATTTTGACATACTAGTCCATGGTATGAATGTTGCTTAATTTCTCATTTGGATAATGAGACAATCTGCCTTGCTTCTCGGCAGTTCAACCGATGCATCTTTCCCGCTACAATGGCACAGACAGGTTGGCATTGTCAAATATTAAGCAGGCCGGAGTCAATGTTACTATTAAGCGAGCACAAACTGTGATGATCACCCAATTCCCCCAAACCCTAGCTAACCGCTGTAATGAGCCCCAACTAAACGTGGTGTTTTTCCCGGGACGGTAATTGTATGCCACACGAAGGCACACTGGCACCAGCCAGCACATTAATATGGCAACATTCAAGAGGAGGGGCGGTGGGGGGAGTTGGCCGTTTACTAGTTTTGACAATTGATTCAACTCCATCAGAGGCAAATGGTCAAAAAGCAGAGAGTCTTCCTTCTCAAAAAACACAGTAGGGCAGATATCATCTTCATTGGCAGCCCTGAGCAAGTGGCAAGAATACTCGCATCACCTTCAAAGGGAACTATGTTCTCAACCTCAGCAGGGATGATGAGCCAATCAATGTGCAAACTTCAGAGTAATCTAACCGCAGTGTCACCTGGCAATATTTGTGAGAGAAGCTCACCAATTGTTAGTTAAGGTTGCACAGTATGGTTAACAATAAAAAGTGCACAATAATGAATAGTAATGTACCTCTCTTTCTCAATCCATTGCTGGACAAAGGCCGCATCCAGAGTGTTGGCCATGGGAGCTGTTTGACCATACTTCACAATTAATTGTCAATGTGGGTTGGTGAAGGTTGGTGAGGAGGGTGGTCGGCTGGACTGGTTCAGATTCTACTTCCCACTGATGTTAGCTGTGGCTTGGAATTAGCGAGTTTGAATCCACCAGCCTTGAAACACAAACCCGGTGGGTAACGAGACCTGGGAATCACTGCGCCCTGGGATTCACTCTCACCACTGTGGGACACGGTGCAAGGCGGTAGGATAAAACCGGATGCCACGCTTATTCATGGCAATGCACATCAATTTAAGGTAATGGGATGCTTATTCTAATCCGATGTTAAATTCAGGGCTGTTAATGTAATGCGTACTTTGCAGAGGGAAGGAAAAAAAATACCTATTACGGACAAAACATTTAATTTTCCCATGGTTTTTTTTCGGGACATTACCATTGGGAAAAAAACCTTTGACTTATCACTGCGGTTTGCTGGCCCTGGCAGATTTGACAGACATAGCAACGGTTGCTAGGCAGCATCGCAGTCAGGAGCAGCGCTATCGAGAGGCCAATTACCAGTGCGCTTATAAGGCTGATCATTCATGCCGTTAACACCCTGTCACGGCTGTTCACTGGCAAGATGTTCATCGGCTCCTCTAAATAAAATTATATGGTGGATGGGCATGTGGATAGATAGTCCAGATGGATATACAGTAATGTAATGCACATCGAATCCCAAGTGCACAAATAATTCAGATGTTGGGATATATATATAAACAGACAATAATACATATATAATAGCACCACACACCCAGAGGAATCGACATGTGCAGAACAAGATCCGTAGACACTCGTGCGTATACTACGGTGTATAATCACCACGTCAAATTGCCTCACCGCTTAAACAAATATTGAGTGGCACCCACTACGCATTTGTCACCCTGAGCATTGGTGGAAGCTCCACGTTATTATGGCGGGGGCCAGTCTCTCCGGAGGACAGCTACCGTTTGCTTTCAACAAAGCAGTGGGTACTCATTTAAATGACCGTGAACCAATCATGGAGCGAGTCAAATATTGACTCGACATTCTAATCAGCACAATACAATTGTCAGTTGGTTTCCTTAAGCACTTCACTGCCTGGCTATATATACGCACAGATCAATGCATTTTTATGAATACAGTAACAGTCTCAAAATATCAATGCAGAATATGCACAACAAACATATATTTACGAGTTCATAAAGCAAAAGTTTTAAATACATTTTATTAACCTGACATTATTTTTTTACAATTTTTATCTATGGTCAGACACTAATAACTAAAAAAATGTGTATTTTTCCAAACAAACAAAAAACTAAAATTGTTGACGACTTCGTTGAACGTGTTATATTTAAAGACGTACCCCATTGGAAACCGCTCAATTTAAAGATTCCGTTCTTTTTAATTTGAAAGAACAAAAATAATGAACGTAATACTCTGAGGGGAAGCTCCTATTTTTACCGTTTACGAATTATTCAGATTTGAACATCATACAATGCGTATTTTTTCCAATAAAAACCGCTTTAATCCAAAATATATTTAAAACAATGAAAGATAGAACAATGGTCCTCACTTTAATGTTATTTGCTGTTTAACACTATCAAACGAAAAAAAACTCATTCTTATATTTTGAACGGTTTCTGAATGACACCATGCTCAAACATATTTATGGGCACTTAAAATCGATATTTGGGGGCCTTAAAATGAAAAATCTCGGATATTTTTTCATTTTTCCTGTTGTTTGTGTCCTAAAAGCTACCTAATGTACCAAATTTCAGCTTTCTACCTTGTACCCCAGAGGTTTATGAGACATACATACAGATTAAGTTATTTATTTACATAGATAGACAAATCTCTCAAGACAAAATTAGATGTTTTGGAGGTCAGAGGTCAAAGTGCTGAGTTGGCACTGCTTTGAACCTGGGTTCAAATCCAGGCAGCTGCATGTGATTAAGCCAGGTCTCAAGCGTAATGAGTTTATGGTCTCAACTCAATCTCCAACGACAGAATGGAACGTCATAATAAACCTGGTTTGCACTTGGTATGGCTACAATTCCAGCTGTGACAATGAATAATAATAATGGTTTGAATCTCACGAGACAATCGATCTCGCAGCAGAGTTTGTTGGAAACTGTGACCGGTGCTGTGTAAAATATAAAAAGTCCTGAGAAAAATCGTCTTCCCTGGGCAGTTTGCTGACATGCGAAGTGATCTTATCAGTGAGATTTCGGAATGGGTTTTCTGTCTTGAGACATGACACCGATAGCACAACTAGAATACATTTGGTGCAGGGGGGGGGGGGGGGGGCAAACAAAACCCTCAGTACATATCGAACAGTTAGATACACAACACATGAATCCCTGCTCCTTCGAGTCATTATGAAATTGCGTGACCTTTAGGCGACGCTTAACTTTTGCAATCGCGGGACTGCCACACCCTCGCTGCGTCTCCGTGTGGTGACCTTTCCCCCCAGCACAGAGGGGTCCCGTGTCTCGTCCCAAAACCCAGGAGAGAGAGAGAGAGCCAGCCTTTGATCGATTGGGCGAGTGGATTTTACCTCCCGAGTCTACTGTGCTGCCCGAACAAGGCGCGTCTTTGTGTGTGTGTGTGCCCGCTGACAGCCGACCCCGTTGAGATTCGTAAATGGGTCCAGCAACCCCAAGTGACAGGAAAGAGGCTCAGTGTCGCATTATAGCGTGGCTCTTTTGCCCCCCCCCCCCCCCGCTTCGAAGTAACGGCGTGCCAGCACTGGTCGTGCCGTCTAGTGATGGACACTCACACCGCGGCTTAACGGGGGCTCTGCGGGGGGGGGGGGTGATATTTTTCTGGCCAATCTTTCATTTTATTTCTGCACTGGTTTGGTCACTGGCATGTTTCACGCCAGTGGGGAAAATAAAACAAATCGTACAGAGAAAGCTTTCGGACGCAGCCACTTCCCTGGAAAACATTTGAAAGCAACTCCAGCTGGCATAAATGTCACGATGCCACCGTGGGGTATAATGTCCCAACTTACAGTTGAAGCGACCCGCACAGTGAAGCTGTTCTTTGTGCGGACTCAAGAGCATCATAACTGCAAACTTCAGGCAGTTAAAAAGTGAAAGTGAAGCACTTTGAACGGACCAGCTAGCCCTCGTAACCTCTGCTGAACACTTACCTAATGCCTG